TCTCTCTCTCTCTCTCTCTCCCTCTCTCTCTCTCCACCCCCCCACCCCCACTGGTCTTTGCTGTCTCTCAATCCATTTGTCTGACAGTGGCATTTGGAGCAGTGCTAAACTACCAGCACCTGTGTGGCCAGTCTTTCCTGTATGCAGGGAGGCTGAGGCCAAAGTTTGCGAGCTGAGGAGAGGCCATCAATTTTTTTTTTTATCAGAGTGTGCATTTGTGCAGCACTTCCTGAAAATGGGGAAGCCCAGCTGTGAATGCTTCAAAAAGGGTCTTGTCCACTTATCCAGGGTATTGGTGGCTTAAACCACCAGTACATCCGAATAAGCAGATTGAGCCTCTCCTTAAAATTCGGAGGCCATGGACCCTCGATAAAATGAACCAGCAGTTCATGGCTTCCTATTTTTAAGGAGAGGCTCAATCTGCTTTCTCGGATGTGCTGGTGGTTTAAGGGGGACGGGGGGTGGCGCGGGGGTGAAGGTGGTTTCTGTCCCGATTGGGGTTTGTGGACATGTCCTCATTCATTGAACCATCAGTCTCTGAGTCTCTTGATCTCAGCACAGCCCCCATCCTTTTTTCTTCTTTTTTTTTTCCATTTCTCGATTTACGCATGGCATCCTTGCACAGGGGCCAGCCCGTACGTACGGGGGTCACCGGGCCGACCTCCGTACTTACGGGCGTTCGGGGTCCTGTACGGGGTCCGAACCCGACGGCGTTCGGCCCCCGCCAAAAAATATTTCGGGGCCTAAAATTGTTTTTTTTTTTCTGAATTTTTTTTTGTGAGTTCTCTATGACGTGAGGCACATGCCTACAAATTTTGACGGCATTTGGGTCAGCCAAATAAGAATTCACAATCGCCGAAGATGGCGGTGTCAAAACGTGCTCGCCCACGTTTTGAAACTTTTTTTGTGCGTTTTGTATTATGTGAAGTACAGATCAGTAAATTTTCAGGGCATTTAGCTGTGCCAAAAAAAAATGAAAAATCACCAAAGATGGCGGTGTCGAATACGTGCGCGCGCACTCACTAAATTTAATTCTCTTTTTATTTTTTGTTATTTTTATTATTAGCATTTGTTCTCAGTATTTTTATTTTTATTTCAAATTTGGTAAGGAATTTGGATGTAATGCTCAGGCGAATGTTGTTTATTTTATTTTTCTTCATAACATATCTTTTTTTCAGATTTTTTTTTTTTTTTTTTTT